ATTTCTAAGTCAAGATCGAACATGGGTTATCTTGGATGAAAAATTAGGTCACACAGCCCAAATATTGGAAAAACCTTGTTAACATTCTAGTGGTCACATTTTCCACTCAATTATCATTAAACTTGGTCAGGATGCTTGTCTAGGTAATTGCTTGGATGAGTTCGAAATCGCATGTGAATCTAGGTCACCGGAGCTAAAAATAGAAAAATCTTGTTAACACTCTAGTTGCTACTGTTTTGATCCAAGTATCCTGGAAATTGGTCTGAAAAGTTGTTTTGATGATTTCTAGGTCAAGTTTGTATATGTGTCACCTGGGTAAAAAACTAGGTCGCACTGCTCAAATATGGATAATCCTTGTTAACACTGTAGTGGTCACATTTTTGACTCACCTGTCATGAGACTTGGTCAGAATGCTTGTCTAGGTAATTGTTTGGATGAGTTTGATAAGTCAGGTGAGCGATCTAGGGCCATCATGGCCCTCTTGTTTTTTCTTTACACATATACAATGCATATATATTGATTTATGTTATATGACATAGCTTTGACTTTTATGTGAGGAATTGATCTAGCTAGCAGAAGGATGTTTGCTTGTGTTCAGCCGAGGTGCCAGCCTGTGATCAATATTTATTTTTGTTGTTTTATTACATCGCACTTGAATTTTATCAAGATTTGTTTTAAGCCTTTAAAACTGTCACGCATGTATTTTACTTTAATATATTTGACCAAAGCAGTCACCTGAAATATTATGTGTAGGACACATAAGTATGTCTTTTAATGTATTCGTGTAATGTAATAATCTGCATGACAACACAACTTTTCTGTCCACAGGTTCTGGGAGATGAGGTCAGGGCTAAGAAAATCATTTTTGAAGCACTTGAAAAAGATCCAGTAAGTATATATTACTAGACAGGTTGAAATTATTATAAAGTTTAGTTAGATACCATTGTAAAATATGGAGAAATAAACATTTTGATGAAGCATGTATGGACTATATCTTTTTTTGAAGAAAATGGATTTAAGTTATTCTGATATATTTGTAAAAAAAAAAAAAAGCAATTTCATTTTCTATGGATTCAGATCTTGCCAGGTATGTTGAATTGTTCCATTCTAGGCCGGTTGCCTACAGCGGTTCTACACTGGTGCCAGCTTGAGCCTGAAATAATGCTTGTACAAGAAACCATAGATATTCCTACAGTAAAGCTTAAACAACAACTTCTAAAACTGTTAGATACTATCATATGATATGTTTTAAAATTGTATGCTATATTTTTGTGTCATTTCAACTTTTCCAGAAAAATGAGAAATTGTACATCCAGTTGTTAGATATAGAATACCAGAAACATCCAGTCAATGTTGATAGTGCACTAGAGATATTCTCCAAGGCTTTAGAAAGTGAAGAACTTTCTGTTTCCACAAAGATAAAGATGTCACAGAGAAGGCTGGAATTTCTGGAAGATTTTGGATCTAGTATTGTTCAGTAAGTTTGTTTGTTGGTGTGATTAATTGTTGTGTTAGTGCCAGTTTGTAAAAGCATATTTTCACAAAAACACCGAAAGGCAATAAAAAATACTCCATAAATTATTGTTCACAAAGAGAACCATTGGAAGATACTGTAATGAAATGAAAAATATAATCGTGTATAAAAACGCCTCTTAAAAGATATTCTACCAGGTGTAGTAAAACCATTTCAAATTAATTCTTGCAAGTAATTAAAAATAAAATTCATAACATGGTGTTGGTAAGGAATCGAACCAAAAACATTGAGATCGGTTGTCCATCATCTATACCAATACACCATACCTCTCTGACAAGTGAAGTTAGTAAATGTATAGCAATATATTTGATAGATACTGGTCAGTGTTTTATTCAAATGACCTTTATGAAAGTTAATCAAGTGCCAGGTCAATATTGTTTGACAGTAAAGAACTGAATGAACAATATTTACCTGAGGGTGGTTTTGTTGTAATTTACTTCGAAATGGAAAGTGTGTGTGCGATTCAGACAGGATGACAGAATTCAAACAAAAATAAAGCTTTATTCGACAGGAATAGATTTTGTCTGGTAAATTTGAAGGATCCCTGTATGGTTCTCAATTGCATTAAAAAATTATTTTTATATACTAAGTGAAACTATATTGTAGATACATGATGACCAGCAATTAGCCATGTTTTGATCAGCGTTTTGAGAAAAAACAAATTCATGAAGTGGAATTAGTTATTTTATTTTTGCTGAATCTTTGAGAGATTAATGTACTCAATTATCATTTGAAATTTTCGAGATTTATATAATCTTTAACTAACTTATTATTTAACAATTTATAGGTTGAAGGAATGTTATGATGAGCACCAAAAACTGATTAAAGATATGCAGTCAGAGAAAAAGAGAAAAAGTAGCGATACAGTGTATGTATTTAAATAACATTGAGATATTATAGTATGTAGTCTTCATCTAGAATACTTCATCTAGACTATAGTGATGGCTTTGTACTGGAGTGCTGACTTTGAAACACTTGCACTACTTAGGCTTCAAATTCGGCCAAGTCTTTTGATTTTGAGCATGCTCAGGGTGAGCTTTTAGGATCGATGATTGTCCGTCGTCCGTTCACATTAAGTTGTTAACACTCTAGCGGTCGCATTTTTGCCTCAATCATCATCAAACTTGGTCAGGATGCTTACCTAGTTGATAGCTCGGATGAGTTCGAACATGGGTCATCTCGGATGAGAAACTAGGTCACAAGAGCTAAAAATAGAAAAACCTTGTTAACACTCTAGAGGTCACATTTTTGCCTCAATCATCATCAAACTTGGTCAGTATGTTTGTCTAGGTGATAGCTCGGATGAGTTCGAACATGGGTCATCTCGGATGAAAAAGTAGGTCACAAGAGTTAAAAAATAGAAAAACCTTGTTAACACTCTAGCGGTCACATTTTTGCATCAATCATCATCAAACTTGGTCAAGATGCTTGTCTAGGTGAAAGATCGGATGAGTTCGAACATGGGTCATCTCGGATGAAAAAGTAGGTCACCGGAGCTAAAAATTGAAAAAACCTTGTTAACACTCTAGCCGGTCACATTTTTGCATCCCAATCATCATCAAAACTTGGTCAAGATGCTTGTCTAGGTGATAGCTCAGATGAGTTCGAACATGGGTCATCTCGGATGAAAAAGTAGCGTCACCGGAGCTAAAAATAGAAAAACCTTGTTAAACACTCTAGTGGTCACAATTTTGACTCAATTGTCATCAAACTTGGTCAGGAAACTTGTCTAGGTCATTGCTGGAATAAATCGAACATGGGTTCATCTCGGATGAAAAACTAGGTCACAGGAGCTAAAAATAGAAAAAATCTTGTTTAACACCTAGTGGCTACTGTTGTGATCCCAAATTATTCTGTTAATTGTTCTGAAAGTTTGTTTTGATGATTTCTAAGTCAAGATCGAACATGGGTCATCTTGGCATGAAAAACTAGGTCACACCGCCCATATTTATGGAAAAACCTTTTTAACATTCTAGTGGTCACATTTTCGACTCAGATTATCATCAAACTTGGTCAGGATGCTTGTCTAGGTAATTGCTTGGATGAGTTCGAAATCACATGTTGAAAACTAGGTCACCGGAGCTAAAAATAGAAAAACCTTGTTACACCATCTACGCTGTCACATTTTTGCATCAGTCATCATCCAAACTTTGGTCAAGATGCTTGTCTAGGTGAAGCTCGAAATGAGTTCGACATGATGTTTTCATCTCGGCATGAAAAACTAGGCTCACAGGAGATAAAAATAGAAAAACCATTTTAACCCACTCTAGAGGTCACAATTTTGCCTCAAATCATTTTCAACAAACTTGGTCAGGATGTTTGTTCTAGGTGATAGCTCGGATGAGTTTGAAAACATAGGTTTCATCTCGGATGAAAAACGTGGTCACCGGAGCTAAAAATAGAAAAACTTGTTAACAACTCTACGGTCACATTTTTGCATTCAATCATCATCAAACTTGGTCAAGATGCTTATCTAGGTGAAAGATCCGGATGAGTTCGAACATGGGTCATCTCGGTATGAAAAAGTAGTCACCGAGCTAAAAAAAATTTGAAAACCTCGTTTTAACCCACTCTAGGTGTCACATTTTTGCATCAGTCATCATCAAACTTGGTCAAATGATGCTTGTCTAGGTTGAAAGCTCAGATGAGTTCCCCGAACATGGGTCAATTTCCCCGATGAAAAAGTAGGTCACCGGAGCTTAAAAATAGAAAAAAACCATGTTTAACACTCTAGAGGTCACAATTTTGCCTCAACCATCATCAAACTTGGTTTAGCCAGGATGTTTGTCTAGGTGATAAACTCGGATGAGTTTTCGAACAGGGTCATCTCGGTTTAAAAAAAATATCCCCGAGCAAAAAATAAAAAAACCCCTTGTTAACATTTCTAGCGGTCACTTTTTTTGCATAAACATCATCAAATTTGTAAAGATGCTTTCTGGGTGATAGCTCGATATTTTCGAACAGGGGCATCTCGGAGGGGAAAAATTGGTCCAAACTAAAAATAAAAAAACCCTTTGTTAACACTCTGGTCAAAATTTTTGATAAATTTCATCAAACTTGGTCAAAAACTTGTCAGGTAGCTGGAATTCGAACATGGGGTCATCTCGGATAAAAAAGGTCCCCGGAGCAAAAATAAAAAAAACTTGTTAACCCTAGGGTCTTTTGATCAATTTTCTGAATTGGTCAAAGTTTTTTTTTGATATTTCAATAGTCGAAATGGGTCATCTTGGATGAAAAAACTAGGTCACACCGCCCATTATATGAAAAACCTTGTTAACATATTCTAGTGGTCACATTTTCGACTAAATTATCATCAAACTTGGTCAGGTGATGCTTGTCAGGTAACTTGCTTTTGGATGATTCGAAATCACATGTGAAAAACTAGGTCACCGGAGCTAAAAATAGAAAAACCTTGTTAACACTCTACGTGGGGCCACATTTTTGCATCAGTCATCATCAAACTTTGGTCAGATGCTTGTCTAGTTGAAAACTCGGATGAGTTCGAACATGGGTCATCTTGGATGAAAAAAAACTAGGTCACAGGGAGCTAAAAATATAAAAAACCATGTAACACTCTAGAGGTCACAATTTTGCCCTCAATCATCAAAACAAACTTGGTCAGGATGTTTGTCTAGGTGATAGCTCGGATGAGTTCGAACTATGGGTCATTCTCGGGATGAAAAACGTAGGTCACCGGAGCTAAAATAGAAAAACCTTGTTAACACTCTAGAGGTCACATTTTTGCATCAATCATCATCAAACTTGATCAAGATGCTTGTCTAGGTGATAGCTCGGATGAGTTCGAACATGGGTCATCTCGGAATTTTGAAAAACTAGGTCACAGGAGCTAAAAATAGAAAAACCTTGTTAACACTCTAGTGGTTCACAATTTTGACTCAATTGTCATCAAACTTGGTCAGGAAACTTGTCTAGGTCATTGCTGGAATAAATCGAACATGGGTCATCTCGGATGAAAAACTAGGTCACAGGAGCTAAAAAATAGAAAAATCTTGTTAACACTCTAGTGGCTACTGTTGTGATCCAAATATTCTGTTAATTGGTCTAAAGTTTGTTTTTGATGATTTCTAAGTCAAGATCGAACATGGGTCATCTTGGATGAAAAAAAAACTAGGTCACACCGCCCAAAAATATGGAAAAACCTTGTTAACATTCTAGTGGTTCAATTTTCGACTCAATTATCATCAAACTTGGTCAGGATGCTTGGTCTAGGTAATTGCTTGGATGATTTCGAAAATCGCCATGCTGAAACTTAAGGTCACCGAGCTAAAAATAGAAAAATTCTTGTTTTAACACTCTAGTTCCTACTGTTTGATCCAAGTATCCTGGAAATTTTTGGTCTGAAAGTTTGTTTTGATGATTTCTAGGTCAAGTTTTGAATATGTGTCACCTGGGTAAAAAAAACTAGGTCCGCACCTGCTCAAATATGGATAATCCTTTGTTAACACGTGTATGGTCACTTTTTTTTGACTCACCTATCATGAGATTTTTGGTCAGAATGGCTTTGTCTAGGTAATTGTTTGGATGAGGTTTGATAAGTCAAAGGTGAGCGATTAGGGCCATCATGGCCCTCTTGTTTTCATGTCAGCAGGCTGTACAACTAGCTATGGGATCTTTGCTTAGAAGGGCACTAAGATCTCCTTGCAGCAGGAAAATAGAAATGTCACAATATAACATTTTCAGTGTGAATGTGACTTGAACTTTAGTAAATTGTTAACAGTAAATGTTTATATAAATAAAACAATTAATTTTGCTTTCAGGGAGTCTGAACCTGTAGAAAAGAAAATAAAGACAAATGGGGCAACAGAGCAACCAGCTTCTGACTATAGTGCTTACTGGTCACAATATCAGGTATTAAAAGTATTGTATGACTATAAATTATGTTACAGAGCTACATCAACAGTCAGTTGACATTATTGTTAATAGTATTTCACTGCTACCAATAGATTATTGGATTGTTTACTATAATTATAGTATCTATAGTTATGGTGGAGACAATAAAACTATGGTTATATAAATTATTCTAGACATCTCAGATTTGAGCAAAATACTGTCATATTTTACTGTAATGTATTCATTAGGCTACAGGATTTCTTTTGCCTCTTGTAGCTGAGGGGTTGCCTTTAATAAAGAGGCATCAATATTGCAGGCACCATTTATCCCTGTGTGATAGTACATAGCGGCTAAATGGGTTTGAATAAATGGAGTCTATGCATCTCTTAGCTCCAGCAGGTGAGGTGGTTTTGACCCTTGGTGTTGCTTTGAAGATTGTAACACCCAAGCTTAGCAAAAATCACCTTTCCTGTTTCAGTGCTATTTTGCCTAAACTACTGTTGCGATGTAAAACAACAAACATGATTTCTTGCCCTTGTTTTGCTATTTTGATGAAGTTTAACCTGGATTTAGAAAGTCGCATTAATTTGAAAGAATTTGCCTCATCCTTACTTTTCCCCAAAATTCACTGTTTTATCCTAGGAAATCCTTGAGTTTAATTAGTAAACTGATGCTTCAAATACAAGAAGCTAAATATTTACAGTACAACATCATGTTATTCATAAGTCCTATAAAGTATTACAGTTAGATATATGATATAATTTCAGACTGCAGCAGGTTATTCCTATCCGGCCACCTGGAGTGGGTATGCACAACAATATTACAATTCCTGAGAGATTACTTACAATGTGCCATAAACAGTCTTATGATTTATCTCATCATTCAGAGTGATTTGATTGTTGCCATTCTTGTATTTGTTGAAGACAAGATTTAGCCATTTGACTACACTGTGTGTATCTATTAGCACATTTGTACAGAAAACTTATGAAAAAGGTGGCTTTACAGCAGTGCTAGGATAGCACATTTGTACAGAAAACTTGTGAAAAAGGTGGCTTTACAGCAGTGCTAGGATGTACCAGTTGAAAGGTGCTCAGTTGTTATGTTGTTTTTTTAGCTCACCTTGCACAAAGTGCAGGTGAGCTTTTAGGATGGCCAACCAAATGGCGTCCGTCGTCTGTAGTCCGTCCACATTTTAAATATTCTAAGGACATTTCTTCTATGATACCGCAAGGCCAATGTTAATGAAACTTGGCAGGAAATACTTTTTGTATGAAGCTCTATCAAGATTGTTCAAAGAATTCCATTTCATGCTGAACTCTGGTTGCCATGGCAACCCGAAAGAAAATCTTTTAAATATCTTCTTTTAAAGAACCGTAAGAGCTAGAGCTTAGATATTTGGCATGAAACATCTTCTAATGAGTGTCTACCAAGTTTGTTCAAATAAAAGCCCTAGGGTCAAAATTGGCCCGGCCCAGGGGTCATTGATTTTCCCTATATGCATATAGTAAAAACTAAAAAAATCTTCTTTTAAAAGAACCCAAAGAGCTAGAGCTAAGATATTTGGCATGAAACATCTTCTAGTGAGTGTCTACCAAGTTTGTTCAAATAAAAGCCCTGGGGTCAAAATGGCCCCGGTCCGGGGGGTCATTGATTTTCCCCTATATGCATATAGTAAAAACTTAAAAAATCTTCTTTTAAAGAACTGTAAAAGCTAGAGCTTAGATATTTGGCATGAAACATCTTCTAGTGAATGTCTACCAAGTTTGATCAAAAAAAAGCCCTAGGGTCAAAATTGGCCCCGCCCCAGGGGGTCATTGATTTTCCCTATATGCATATAGTAAAAAACTTAAAAAATCTTCTTTTAAAGAACCGTAAGAGGTAGAGCTTAGATATTTGACATGAAACATTTTCTAGTGAATGTCTACCAAGTTTGATCAAATAAAAGCCCTGGGGTCAAAATTGGCCCCGGCCCGGGGGGTCATTGATTTTCCCTATAGCATATAGTAAAAACTTAAAAAATCTTCTTTTAAAGAACCCAAAGAGCTAGAGCTAAGATATTTGACATGAAATATCTTCTAGTGAGTGTCTACCAAGTTTGTTCAAATAAAAGCCCTGGGGTCAAAATTGCCCCCGCCCCGGGGGATCATTGATTTTCCCTATATGCATATAGTAAAAACTTAAAAAAATCTTCTTTTAAAGAACCGTAAGAGGTAGAGCTTAGATATTTGACATGAAACATTTTCTAAGTGAATGATTACCAAGTTTGTTCAAATAAAAGCCCTGGGGTCAAAATTGGCCCTGTCCCAGGGGGTCATAGATTTTCCCTATATGCATATAGTAAAAACTTAAAAAATCTTCTTTTAAAGAACCCAAAGAGCAGAGCTAAGATATTTAGCATGAAACATCTTCTAATGAGTGTCTACCAAGTTTGTTCAAATAAAAGCCCTGGGGTCAAAATTGGCCCCGCCTCAGGGGGTCATTGATTTTCCCTATATGCATATAGTAAAAAACTTAAAAAATCTTCTTTTAAAGAACTCAAAGAGCTAGAGCTAAGATATTTAGCATGAAACATGTTCTAATGGGTGTCTACCAAGTATGTTCAAATAAAGCCCTGGGGTCAAAACTGGCCCGCCCCGGGGGTCATTGATTTTCCTTATATGTGTATAGCAAAAAACTTAAAAATCTTCTTTGAAAAAACCCAAATAGCTTGAGTTTAGATATTATACATGAAACATTTTTAAGTAAATATCTACAAAGTTTGTTCAAATAAAAGCCTGGGGGGTCAAAACTGGCCCTGCCCCAGAGGTGTCATTGTTTTTAACTATATGTGTTTAGTAAAACTTAAAAAAAATCTTCTTTTAAAAAACCCAATGAGCTAGAACTTAGATGTTTAGCATGAAACATCTTCTTATGGGTGTCTACCAAGTCTGTTATATACAGGTGAGCGACCTCAGGGCCATCATGGCCCTCTTGTTTGTGTGAAAATGGATTTCTTTAATTTTAATTTTTAAGTGCTTATTAGTCCCTACCGCGGTTTACCGGAGGGGACTTTAGGTTTTACCCTCCGTCTGTCTGTCCGTCTGTCTGTCCGTCGTCTGTCCGTCCGTCAGTCCGTCCGTCCACAAAACTGGATCCCGCGATAACGCAAAAAGTACTGAAAATATTTTAATGAAACTTGATATAATGGATAGATGGCAGTATGGAGATTATGCACGTCTTTTTCTTTTCTTCCTATGTTGAAAATTCTGGTTTGCTATGGCAACAAATAGACTGAAAATATGGCAAATTTTTACACATACCTGGATCCCGCGATAACGCAAAAAGTACTGGAAAATATATTTTATGAAAAACTTGATATATGGTTAGATGGCAGTATGGAGATTATGCACGTCTTTTTCTTTTTTTCCTATGCTGAAAATTCTGGTTGCTATGGCAAACAAATAGACTGAAAATATGCCAAATTTTACACATAACCTGGATCCAGTGATAATGCAAAAAGTACTGTGAAAATATTTTTATGAAACTTGACAATATGGGTAGATGTCAGTATGGAAAATTATGCACATTCTTTTCTTATCTTCCTATGTTGAAAATTCTTGTTGCTATGGCCACAAATAGACTGAATTTCAAGATATTTGATTCTAGTTTTTAAGTTTTTTCACTATAAGTTCTTTATTTCTTAAGGTATTTTCTTCAAACTTTAAATATAAGTTACTAGTCATCAAAACCACACCATATGTGACAAGGTTTACAACTCTAGCACAAAATTTATCAGAATTACCTCCCTTGAACTTAAAATTTCATGGAAAAACATTGTTTTTTTTTAATAACTTCTTTTTTTCTGAAGATGTATCTACTTCAAACTTCATATAAATGTTTCTTATTATCACTCAACATTTTGTGAGTGTTCAATACTCTAGCAAGACTTTTTCCAGAATTATGCCCCTTTTGAAACTTAGACTTTTTTTTTGAGAAATTGGTAATTTTTACTCCAGACTTCTTTCAATCATTGATAGGATTTCTTCTCAAACTCCCACATCATAATAATATGACAAGGTTTATAAATCTAGCATCCATATTTCCAGAATTATCTCCTCCTTAAAACTTTTAACTTTTATCCTATTTGTTCTTTTAAACTTTCATTACTTCAAATTCAAAATAAACATTCAATATTCATACCGTCATTACTAATTGTTCTTTGTTACACTCACATCATGTATGACATCGTTATCTCCTTTTTAAAAATTTTTTTGCTTTTAAAAATGTTATATTTTGATAACAGGGATGTTTAAAAAAATATACCTTAGAGTTTTCTTTTCAGTCCGTCTGTCTGTCTGTACATAAAAAAACTGTTTTTTAAAGAACTTTTTCAACAAATTTACTTAAAAATAGAAACATAAGTGAATGGCCAATGGCCCTTCAGAATGTTGCTTGGGCTCTTACCGGTAGGGGACTTATGGATTGCTTGCAATACTATGATAATTGCTTGTTAACAATGGAGATAATTTCTTCATAGATTACTTTTGCTGGATACTTTAATCTTTCTATATTTATTGTATTATCTTATTCAAATTATCTAGGATTATGAGGAAGAATTTGAAATAAATAATTTGTTGACTTGAAGTGGTAAAAGTAATTGATTTAATTTATGAATGAATTGATTTTCTTGATATTACTTATATAAGCATGTTGATTTAAAGGTGAAAGTTTTTTGATATGTTTCAGAGGTTGACATTAGCTGTTGGGTGTTATTATAATTGGTGTTGTGTATGTTATAGATATGTTGAGAGAAATGATCATGTCCACCGATAAAGAAATAAAAAAGAAATACGCTGATAGAACTTGTGTTTGCTTTTCTTTGATCCTTCAGAATTGTCGTTGGTAGGTGGCTCTTAGCCATCATAATCGTCTCAGATGCTTTTTGGACCACATCAAAACTTTTAAAATACTGTTACATTTGATATCATACAACCAAAAATGACGGCCTCGTATATATGAGACTGTCTCAGAAAAATTTATTGACAACACAGGTCCTTTTATTGTACTGTTAATTGTACTTTGAGATAAAAGTTTTCAAAAACTTGTATAGATGAAGACTTCAATTAATAATTGTCAAAAGTTTAAAAGATTTTATTATCAAAATACACAAGTTACCTAGTATAGAGCCTGGTGAGACTACACAGAAGTTCAGACTTGTCAGGTTATATTCTGGTGGCATAGGTAAATTACTTGTGGGGTTTTAGTAAGTTAAGGTCACTGGTGAGGGCGTCCATGGCCCAGTGGTTAAGGTAGTTGACTTCAAACCAATTGCCCCTCACCGCTGTGGGTTCGAATCCGGACAGGGATTTTGGATTCGTTATGTGAGGAAGCTATCCAGCTAGCTTACGGAACGTCGGTGGTTCTACTCAGGTGCCTGAAATAATGCTTAGAAGGGCACCTGAGGTCTTCCTCCACCAGTAAAGCTGGAATGTAGCCAAATGACCTATACTGTGTCGGTGCGACGTAAAACCCAATTAAACAAACAAGGTCACTGTTCCCGGTTGGTTTCATTATTGAATCCTGTTGGGGACATTTATTTCTTTGATATCTTGCCGAAATTGACTGCTTTTGTGATCACTGAAATGAGTTTATGATAAAGGCAGAAAGTTTCCATATCACCTTGACACTGTTGAAAAAAAAAACACTTCATAATACATAGATGCTCCTTTCTCAAATTAGAGAATTTGTTTTTGAAAAAACCTACATGTATAATGAAATTTCTTTGAAGGTCAAGACTGTATCTACTACAGTATGTCTGGTCTAAAATGAAAATATATGATACAACCTGTGTTAGTTCTTCATATACACAAAATGATTGCCAACCTATCAATATGTTAGCATGAATTGTGATGGGACATTTCAATGTGAAAAGAAAAGGAATGTAGTTCTGTGATTGGAGAATTGCAGTTACAATCATCATGTGGAACAGATTATTTTTTGAAAGTTCATATTAACCACTGAAGTTATTTTCTTGCAAGTGCTTTAACTATCACAAGTTGTATGTATATATATATATATAATCTGCTGGTACTTACTACTGTAGTAGTGTATTCTGATTATACTCTGCAACATAATA